GCAAACCGGTGTCGGCGACAGTCAATTGGTCTCACTGTCACTCATTGGACAGCAGCGGCGAAGTGGTGGACAAGAGTGCTCGACGTAAACTGATTATCGCCAGCATATTGTGCCTCATATTTATGGTCATAGAAGTGATCGGCGGACTGTTGGCCAATAGTCTGGCCATTGCCACAGACGCGGCGCATCTGTTAACAGATTTCGCCAGTTTTATGATTAGTCTGTTCTCGCTATGGGTCGCCTCACGTAAGGCCAGCTCTCGTATGAGTTTCGGTTGGCATAGGGCTGAAGTGATCGGTGCCCTCACATCGGTGCTCATGATTTGGGTCGTCACCGGAATCCTGTGCTTTATGGCCGTCGAGCGTATAATCAGCAAAAAATATGAGATCGAGGCTCAGATTATGGTCATTACGGCCTCAATCGGTGTTATAGTAAATATAATGTAAGTGTTTTCATCATTTCAAAAGTTATGATTATAAAAGTGTGTCTCATTTGATGTGAATAGTATGGGAATATCTCTATCGGCTGGCGGTATATCTCACGGTCACAGCCACGGAGGCGGTGGTGGCAGTCATTCCCATAACCACAGCGANATGTAAGCGTTTTCATCATTTAAAGAGTTATGATTATAAAAGTGTGTCTCATTTGATGTGAATAGTATGGGAATATCTCTATCGGCTGGCGGTATATCTCACGGTCACAGCCACGGAGGCGGTGGTGGCAGTCATTCCCATAACCACAGCGATAATCATAATCACAGCCACAATAGTGGAGACGTAGAGAAGCAAAAAGCAACAAATATTAACGTTAGGGTACGGGTTATCGCTAACTATCGCCTCACATAACATACAATAATCTCAATAAGTGTTATCAATAATTATATTTCTGTCACATTCTTAAGGCGGCATTCATTCACGTTTTGGGAGACTTTTTCCAGAGTTTAGGTGTTTTGGTGGCCGCTCTCGTCATCTATTTCTTACCCGATTGGGGTATTGTTGACCCGATCTGTACTTTCCTCTTCTCTATACTAGTATTGATCACAACATTCAATATAATTAAAGACGTTCTCAATGTTCTTATGGAAGGTATGGAAGTATTTTTAAAGTAATTTTATTGTGAAAATTGTTTTATTCCGTAAATTGTTTACGGATTTTATAGTTTGATTGCAATTTATTTTTCCCATTTATCGCACAAAAGTCTTGTGATAAACAAATGTTTGCATTTCGGCGAACAAACAAAGGATTGAGAATAGATTTTAATGTTTGGCTTACGATTAATGAGTACAATATCTATCCTAATATCTTATTATTTTTGGTGTTTTGTGCAAAAACTTATAATCACTGAAATTATGGCATTTTTCAGACAAACACTTCAGATTAGATTTTATAATTAATTTTCAATTCCTTCTATACTTTAAATTGATTTAATAGTATAATAAAACTATTTATTGAGATATCTTATCAACAGTAATCTATAGTGGATTAGTGTTTAATTTAAATGCAATTCAAACGAATAGTTTAGGAACAGTGTTGTTATGACGATAAATGTTGATCTAATTTATATATTCTTTACATTAATTGTATTAAAAAGCATTTAAATCTATATTTTCGATAATATTATAAAATTATATTTATCTCATTATCTCATGTTAAATAAAATGTTAATATTTTTATACGTTTACAGGAAAACCTCGTGGAGTGGACTTTCTTGAAGTGCAAAACACTTTGTTCAACATTCCCGGTGTCCTCAAAGTCCATAACTTGAGAATATGGTCGTTAAGTCTCGATAAGACCGCACTGTCCACACACCTGGCCATTGGTATGACAACAATGGTGCACAACATTTGAATTTGTATTTTTAAACTTCTATTTGTATTCAATATGACAGCCAAAGGACAGAATCCGACAAAAATACTGAACATAGCGTCCCAACAGATTAAGAATCGCTACAATATCTATGAGCTAACCATTCAAGTGGAAGAATATAGGGATGAGATGAGTGACTGTCAACAGTGCCAAACACCCGAGTCTTAAGCGCTGATATACTAATCATTTCGTATAGTTTGGAAAATAACTTTTTAAATCTCTTTTCATATTTCATAAATAATTATCGTTTTTAATGTATTTATTTTGTATTTTTGTTTCAATAAAAGCCTTGAAAATTCATCGATTTATTTAACGATAAAGAGTTGAGGAATTTTTATATAAAATATATTTAACACTCAAATGATTGAATTCTGTGTGCAATCGATTTGTATGTTTTTAAAAATATTATTTTTTTAATGTTTAAGAAATTATACGTTGAAATAAAATGATTGTTTCATTACTCGTATGCAATATTCAATTAAAACTAAATTGAAGATTAATAACAAATTATTTATTTAATAGTCATATCAGAACAGCAAATGATAACCGATTAAAGAAAAGTTTGATTATTTATAGACATTACAAAAACTAAGTAATCATTACTTTCTAATGACGAAAAAAAACTATTGTTTTATTTGTCATTAAAGTGTTTTCACTCATATTCAACGAATAAATGAACACTTAATAATCAAATGATTTCTAATCTAAATAATTAAAAAATACTAAAACAACATTTACTTTGATTTCACGTTTACATGTGCTGTGTATTTAAATAACAATTTCCTAGAATTCACTAATCAAGTGCTGAATTGAGTTAAAATACAAAAACAATTTACTTTAGACGTCAAATAAATGCATGTGAAAAATAATGATAAATAATGATTTTAATAATTAAAAATATGAGATAAAAAATTAGTCAATGAATTGCGAAATAACTACATATTCACAACGAAATTATATAATTTTTTATATAAAATTTGAAAGCACTTTAAATATCAAAATAAATTATTTATAAATACAGTATAAATACAATTGTCACACAAAAACAATGTTAGTAGGAAATGATCACTGAATTGGACTGACTATGTCTTGTGGCGAGAAATGAGACATAAAAATTGCACTGAAAATCTGATGCCATGAATAAGCGCACCGACACTCGCAGGGAAAGGCTATCGGCACCAATGATTTCACCACTATTACCATCGCTATCATCAACAGAGTTAACGAGAATATATACCGAAAGTCTTTTACTATAGACCGCATATAATCGCCGACTCTTCCATCACACGAGTCATTAAAACTGTTTCAAACAAATAAACTTCAAATTAAAATTCCGTTTTTGATAATACAATAAACTTTTCAATACTTACAGATTGACTAAATATTTGTATTCAATAAAATTGACAACAGTTTTGTTTTCACTAGTATTTTGATCGTCATATTCAGCATCATATTTGACGTCTTCGTAGTCGGAATCGTTGTCACTATTATTGAACACGTGTTGGCCCACCAATCGATGGTTTTGTGATTCGTTTACATTATTGGCTGTATTTCTGGCACTCGTGTTATTATTATTGTTATTGTGTTCACAATTAATGGACGCAATGTTTATCTCGTTTAACGAAGACTTTCGTCGCGAAAGTGGTTGAGATATTTGTTCTGTTTGTTCGTTATCTGAGTCCGGATTAACCAAAGAGGAGCCGCAGTC